AATTACCATAGTAGTTCGTACTCCGTCTGACCTAGTATATAAGGCGCAACCACATTTGGTTCAAGGATCAAGAGACACATTTAATTCTCTCTCTTAGCACTAGTACTACTACATGGATATACATGCGTATAGAGAGAGCACGTCTTGTATTATAGGACTTGAATAATAAGTGGTTACACCTTATATATTAGGATTGAGGAAGTAATAACACTTGAGGAAATGTGAAATTACTTTGGTTCTTTGGTTTAGCACTCAAGAATATGTATTTCATTGAGGTTTCCTATAGCCCCCCCGGCAATGGTATATTCCTTGAGGGCTTAAAATTTGCGCCTTAAGAAAATTGTTGGAGGCCAAAGATAATTTGTTTTCTAGTTGTGACTGTAACTAATAATTGTTGGACTCCGAATAATGATAACAAGGGGTGATTTAGAGCCTTTAAAATTTCTCCTCAAGAACTTCACCTATATGCTACTCCTTTCATCCATAAAAGAATATAATTCTAGCACGGTGACATATTAAAGTATCTTAAATTTGAGTAATTATAAATTAAAAAATATTAGTATTTATAATATTAAATAAGTATCATTAGATTTGTCATGAGATAAACTTTTATACTACACTTATTTGGTTTCATAAACATTAATATATTTATTTATATATTTGGTCAACCTTTAGATACTTTAATAAGAATGCACCTAGAATTACATTCTTTCTTGGACAGAGGTAGTAAATATTGCCTAGGGCATCTCCCTTTCAGGAAAGCTGAGTTCATGTACTCACAACAGAGCTACTAAAACTAACAATGATGCCTAAAATCCCTTATACACAAGACAATAGAACACTGAAACACAGGTATAACTGTCAAAACCAACACTTCTATTATCCTTTGGTGTCATCGGAGAATGTCTTGGTCTGATTGGTCTATTGTCAGATCCTCATGCTCGTTGTCTCCAATATTTGAGAACAACTATATTGAGTCGCCTACGAGAGACGTGGCGGGGGTGCTCTATCACTTTTCAAGGTTATGAGCACCCTCGCCATTAATTAGTTGTACAACCAAAGCATGTATTACATGCACCCTACATGCATGCATGTGTAACTACACGCACCATATGCAATACCGTGAACACACAAGCTCAAACATGCTTTGAGCACACACACGTACAAGCACAAGTTGTCAAATTGCTCATGACAAGAATATACCATCTACATAATCTCAGACCAACAGATAATACGTTAATATCACAATCGCAAGCAGGTTACTAACCGCTATTTTAAAATGTTCTAGAAGCATACAAGCTAAGTCCTAATATATCATCGGAGCAAGCATGCATAAATCCGGATTGTCCATGCCTGGTCTCTGGTGACGTGTAGAAAAGGAACTGCCCCAGCAAAGCTGAGCCGCAATTCGCCGAAGCTGCAATTAAAGCTTTTCACATTAGGGAGTCATATCATGATCTGATGAATCGATAAGGGCACGTTTCAGGCATTGCTGATTTGATTTCAGCTAGACACCGTACCACACCGACCACACAAACAAACTTCAAACTTGGACGGATCTTTGCTCTTTTTTCTGTTAACAAACCAGCAGAAAAAGAAAAGGGGCTGACATGCATGTTAGGCCACTGCGCAAACACAAATAGCGTACGTCTTATGTAATAACTAATGAAGAAGTAGAAAAAGGAAGAAAGGATGATATGTTTCTGTTGCAGTTCCGGTGAACAGAACATCCAATAACTGCATGCAGCATGATGACCCGATTCAGTAGCTGCCGGCGTTTGGATTGGGGACCGTTCCTTGGGCGCCATGATGTCCTGGTCTGGCCCGGCCCGGACGACGTAGATCGAGGCCCATGCAATGGCCATCCCCATATGCGTGCAACTTTGCAAGAACAATCAGAGCGAGGAAGACGTGAAGCTGGCATCAATTCAATATTGGTCACGCCGCGTACTGCACCAACCATGTCTTCCTTTTGCACCCTACTACACCACACGGACATGCCACCACTACGGATCGACACGGAGGCATGCCTGCACTGCACGGGCGGAGACGACAGGGGTTTTGTGACGAGTGCACGTGAGATGGACTGCGACTCTGCGACTGTGTCCTGCAGAGCCTGCTCTTTATTCGATCCGGCCCGGCCGCGTCCGTTCTCTGAGCTTTTGATCACTCGGTCACTCGATCCCCGCCTCCCCGGTTCGCAGTATACCTCTGCTAGAATGCTAGGCTCGCTCTCGCTCGTCACAGTCCCACATGCATCCCCTACTGTGGCCTACTCGCTCCATATTGAATTAGCTTTATTTCCCCTTTGAGCTTTGACGTCCGAACAACGCGTCCAAGCCTTTGATTAGTCGAGTCCTCACAACTTTTGGATATATATGCGGTATCCCATCCAGCCGTAGCTCAGCCTGGCAATTCGGTATTACCGAACCGGTACTTCGGTTTCTAGAGAAATTCGGTTTCCTCGAAAAATAGGAACCGATCAGTTCCTTCCAAAAATCGGTACCGAGGAAATTCTGTTTCGGTATTTTCGGTTCGGTTTCGGTATTTACTGAAAAATATAGAACTGATCGCATGGACATGTAATAGTAGGTTCAAAAGCTAATTTTGACATAATTTGGACATGATTTCATAGAGAATAATAATGCAAAATACATACATTTTAAAGTCCACAAGACTATAAGAGTAAAGTACTACAAATACAAAATATAATAGACTAAAATAGTGCTATCAATAATTTAACAACACTCAAACTCAGCACATTTCATAGAGTTCGGTAATAAATTCGGTTCCCCGAGGTACAATACCGAATTTACCTCGGTAAATTCGGTTCATGAGATTAGGAACCGAACATAATACCGAAAAATTCGGTTTCGGTATTTTCGGTTCGGTTCTCGGTATTTTGTGCCTAGGGTTAGCCGTAGATTGCTTTTCTCACACGGTCATGCACGCCAGCCACTGGTCGGCCAAGCAAATTTTCAGCTTTGCTAACATGCATGCACTGGCAGAGAGAGAGCGCGCTACGCTGCTACCAAATCCAACGTAAAGTACTAAGGCCCCGTTTGGTTAGCTCCGTTCCGGGCTGTTCCTAGCGTGGAACCATTCCAACATTATATGAATTATTGAAGAAATGTTTAGCTTTGACTGAGATTCTTAATTATAAACTCTAATGTTTTTTTCATTACCGTGGTGTTTAATCAAGATCCTCTATCAGCATAATATAATTTTCTTATACCTTCCACTCTCTTGGCACCAACCATGTGTTTGATGCAGCAATTATCTAAGCTCGTTTCTTTATGAACGACATCACTCAAAAGCCAAGCTAATAATATGAGGAGAGGTAGAGGAAGATCGAAATTGACATGGGGGAGGCAATAAAAAGAGATTTGAAAGCTTGGGATATACCTAGAAATCTATGTTTGAATAGGAGTACTTGGAAATCAGCTATTGAAGTGCCTGAACCGTGACTTGGGGCTCTGTGGGTTTCAACTCTAGCCTAACCCAATTTGCTTGGGACTGAAAGGCTATGTTGTTGTTGTTGCCCCGTGGATTCAAACCGATGGCACTGACCTAAGGCCGAGATCTTCGACTGGAGCTGGTCCAGCTCATTCTTGCGTGGCCTCGGCAGCCTCCTCCGCTCTGAGCGTCACCGCGGCCTGGTTGTTAACATGCATAGTTAAGATGATAGAAAAAAAGATATGATAGAAACTGCTGCACGGTTAAGATGAAAATGCATTGCACTTTACCTATAGGATGTATATTAGTTTGCCAAGGTGAATCAAAGAGCTCGCAGTAGACCAAGTGGAGTATAATTTTTCTGAATTTTATTCATACTGCACCAGGCCATGCAAGTGCAGTAGTAACTACACAACCATCTGAAGGCATGTGTTGCTGGTTAGATGATAGACACAGTTCTGAAATAGATCTGACAATGTAGTGATAAATTTTTTATTAAAAAGGAAACAAGTTACCTCAGTGAGCTGCAAACATACTTGACCAGGAGCTCTTTTAAATTGGCATTGCAATGAGATCATCCCTAAGCTTGATGTCATTGTCGTAACACAGGAAAATAATAAATGAAATAATAAATGATGCAATCTTGTAACAACTCTATACAAACGGAGGGGAGGTGAGAAGGTTTACCTGCTCAAGATTATGTAAAATCCAGGAATAACGCTAAAGACATACTGCAACATCAGTAGTGATTAATATTTGTCGGATCATATCCATTGTAGTTAAAATATATTATATGCCTCGGTGATTCTTGCTTGCAATATAATACAAACGGAGGCCAAACTGGATCAAGGTAAAAGTCAGTGTACCTGCTCAAGATTATGTATTGCTCATACATCCAGGAATAACGCTAAAGACATACTGCAACATCAACTGCTCCCCACAAAGCCTCGGCAATCCACTTCTGTAGTGATTAATATTTATACAAACCTACAACAATATCCCCATGTAATCAAAATTACTACTCCGTTACGACGTCGGGAATCAACTGGAGCACAGCAATAAATGGCAAAATTATATTAGACGATATACAAACAGCAAATCCTGTGGTCAAATTGTCCAAAGACCACAGCCAATTAATCCATATACTTTCAGCGAAGCACTTACTATCTATCTTTGAAGCACCCCCCCACCGGACAATATTTATACAAATGCTAATATTACTACCACAACTAACAATAAATGGCCGATATACAAACAGCAAAGTGCAAAGACCACAGGTAGCATAATCCTTTGCACATTACAGGATTTAGCTTACCAAACAAAGGCATGAACCTCTCATTTCCTTACCTCTATGCTCCTCTAAAAGATCACTGACAAGCATCCAGTCTACATCCTTATCGTCATATGTAAGGACATAATCCTGGTCTTTGAGGGCATCCACCTTTGAGCCATTAGTCAGCCTGTCTTTCCTAGATGATTTATGCAGACCACTTTGACCGTTAAAATCACAGGCTAAGTAAACATCCTTGTGAAAAAAAGACATACTATGCAAAAACTGTTCAGTGAACGGCGCAGTACTTGTGTAATTACAAGAGGGGAATGCATCAAACAGAAGCATAGAACCGAACACCACTCACCAGTGATGAAGCAGCTGAACATCTTCTCAAGCGCCATGGAGAGGTCCTTGTAGCTGGAGTACATCTTGATGTCCACCTTCCTGAGGTAGGGCGCGGCATCCATGCTCACCTTCACATACATGGGCCCGCCTCTGGACGCGGCCTCCTCCGCCGGCACCTTGCTCTTGGAGGCGCTCGCGGCGAGGGTGTTCTTCCGGTAGCTCCACATGGGGGGCCATCCCACCAACTGCGCTCTGCACAGATCGATAGAACAGCATCGGTCAGCTCACCGGGCGTCCAGTTCCAGGCCAAAACAGTAACGCCTGCGACGAATCGAAGCGGGGTCTTACTTGGTGGCCGGCGGCGCGGCGGGGGGAAGCTTGCTTGTCGTCGCTAGCCTTGACAGCGTCGGGGCGTGGGCGGGGTCTGGGAAGGCGCGCTTGGCGGAGACGCTAGCGGATGAGGTAGCCGGCAGCGTGCCGAGGGAGAGCACGGCCGCGACGTCCTCGCAGCAGTCCCAGTTGCGGTCGGAGGACTCGGAGCCCGGCAGGCCGAGGCGGAGTGTGAGACGGGGAACCGGCGAGGAGGAGGAAGAGGTTGGGGTCGGCGGCGCAGCCCTGCAGATCACCTCCGAGAACCTCCGAGAACTTGGCGGCGATCTGGTTGCCGCACTGGCCGCCAGGATGTGCAGCCGCCGTGCCCTTCGCCCAAACCCTAGGCACGGGCGCTCCTGCGCGTGGAGGCGCTGCCGCCGTCTCCTGACCCGTCTCGCGTTGAGCTTTCATTTTTTTTCGGAAAAAGGGAAAAACAAGGTGGAGGTGGGAATCGAACCCAGAGCGCGAGCGTAGGGACGAAGTCGCATGAATGGTTCGCTGTGTGCGGGCACACTCAATCTGGACCGTTGGATGTGAGTGAGTAAGGAGAGAGAAGAAATTAGAAGCAATCTGGACAGTCCGTTTTAAAGATGTTGTTTTTTTAGGTATAATTTTGTGGGTGGATGGATGGAGGGCATCTCAGCAGGGGACGTTTTTTTTTGGATTTAGCAAAGAAAAAAGTGATGAATTAGTAGACAATAGGCAAAGACAACTAAACACTGGTAGTGCTCCACAAGATACAATGCAGCAATAGTGCTGGCTTGCATGCAACTCGATCAAAGCCCGCACACCAAGCTAAGCAACTTACCCTTATCATCAGAAACCTAAATTGTAAATACTATAGTACCCACACCCTGCACACACGAACACGAAGTGCAAGCAGCTGCGAAAGGGAAACACCGAGCATTCTTGAAATCACACTAGTACACCACATGGAGCAGACATAAACAACTGCACCGCTAACTGCAGATCATGGCGCCGGTGGTGGCGCTCCTCCTCCTCCTCCTCCTCTTCCTCCTGCGGCAGCGGCAGCAACGACGGGTTGGTGGTGCTCATATAGAAGTTCCGCAATAACCACCCAAGGAGGAAGCCAAGGAGGAGGAGGAGGAGCAGGACCGCGAGGCCGAGGCCGATCGAGACGGCGATAAGGACAACGTCCATGCATGGGGGCGGCCATCGCAATGCGTAACGCGAGGAGATGGTGTAAAGAAAAGCAATGCAAGGGGCTCTGAACGACGAGTAACGATGGCGCTCGCTGTTCAGTTCCTCCGATCCGGCCACCCAAAAAGTTACAGCACACACATTCCTAGCACTGTAGCATAGGGTCAACTGATCGACAAGTAAATCGATCAGCAACAGGACTGGAGAGGAACGCATTATTTGCAGGGAGTCGTCCACACGGTTTCCCGTTTCCTTCCCTGCAAATTGAATCGAGTCCAAGCAGGATTATATTAAAAATTCGATATTTGAGTTTCTATCTTACAAAGTTACAACTAATAAACTGTTTGATGTTGGCTGGTGACTTGGGGAGTGCCGTTGATTCGAGGGTCATGCATGCAAGGCTCAGCTTAATTCGCATTATTATTTTTCATCCCCAAATAAACTGAACAATGCGGTCCAGTTACATCAGGAGCCAAATGGACGAGATGGGCTAGCTAGGACCTATCTAGGAGGGCAGCGGCTGGGCTACGCGTTTTAAGCCTGCTGGGTTTTTTCTCTTCAAGCAAATATGCATCGTACACGCCACCCATGCCGTGCCATATGCCATGCCAAGCTAAGATAAAAAGCAGTGGTGCAACGATGAAGGCAAAGCATTTGCAAGAAACGGGAATGGCATCTCTTTATCTCGTGTGACCCCCCGCCTTTCTACGTCTGATCCACCCTGGTAGCTGAGATGATGAGACTAGACGCCGGAAGCGGAAGGGAGGGATTGCAACGCCAGAATGGTGTTCCACCCTGCTTCGGAAATTTGAGTGGCGTGGAGGGCGCCATTGGTCGACACCACGGCTACGACGAGGACGCCCTGGCCTGCGTCTGCGTGGGACACCACCAGCACAATAAACACAATGCAGTGAAATGAAGGCCGGGGACTTTTGCCGCCCTTCACGAAATCGTCGCAGCTTCAGAATCTATCCTTCTCCCAAGCAGCCTGCTGTCTTTACATACTACGTCGTAGTACGTATCAAGTTATCACTTCACTTTACTTAGGTGCGTGCAACTCGATCGATCGATCTCAGCGCGTCCATGGCGAGCCCAAGTGTGCTAGCTAGCCCGGCCTGAGCCCCCCTGGCGCGGCCACGGGCCACCACGCATGATCGTGATTGGAACAGGACGTCGTTGCCGAGATGAGGATTCACTTCACGGCTGACGGCACCCCGATCGACGCGTCTTATGCTCACTGCTGCTGTGCTGCACCAGGCTACCACCTACCTGGCGGTACCACCAATACCAGCCGGTTCTCGGTCTCGATCGGCAACCCAGGTGCCCACGGCACGCGCGCAGGCCGTGCAGAATGGAGAGTGGGCATTCACTCCTCGGCCTCGCCAGAGCGCGCGCGGACGGACGACGGAGGAAGGACGTGTCTTGCCGTCTCGGAACCCCTGCAGTTGTTGGAAGCCTGTATGTCATCCAGTGAACGCCTGAATCTCGGTGACAAAGCATGACACAAACGGCAACTTTCTGCTCAGCCATCTCTCCTCACGACGATGGATCAACCATCAGTCATCAGGTGGAAACAAGGAGAAGTGACGATGCTGTGAAGAAGAGGAGAGGACACAATAGAGAGCGGACAGGACGTGCATGGGCCACCGATCGACCTGACTACCTGACATCTTGAACTATTCAGACGGCCAACCAGCTGGGTCGCGTGAAACACCCTCGCGTTGCATGCCATCAGTAAACAAAAGATAGAAGCACTGCAACAGACCATTTGGAAGAAACAGAACAAGAGGAACATACGAAACTGCTGCACGTTTAGTATTAGCTACAACAGAATATTACCATACAGTCATGCTAATGCAGTAGTAATTATATTGCTACTGACCCCAACCAGACGACAGGCAGACACCATAGCGATCGATCAGCAAACTTATCTCACAGACACATCGTCACACCCTACTCTCTCTACACAATGAACAACAGACCAAAGATAGATAGATTGAAGAAGCTAGCTAGCTTGCTAGCATGCGCGCGCACGCATGCATCGAGTCCACACCACACCAGCCGGACCGAAGAAACAGAGGACTCATGCAGCTCACGGCGCCGGCGGCTCGCCCAGACGACGAGCAGCTCCTCTGCCCGGGAGCAGGTCCCCTACGCGGCGCCACCCTTCAGGTAGCTCTCAAGCTTCATCAGTAAAACGCAGATGATGAGGAGGGCGATGATGGAGCCGACAACGATCCACGAGAGGAGGTCCATCGTCGAACTCGCTCAGTCCAGGGACGGGTCAGGAGCGAAGCAAGCGCTCTGAGTCAGAGGAGCAAAAAAACGAGACGGGCACTGGAGATCGATCGAGCGGCGGGAGCAGGTGCAGTACTGTGGCTAGCGTGCTGCGTGCTGTGTTTAAACTCCTAAGGATGCTGGGAAAACATCCTGTTGAGATGTAGGAGTATTGTATATATAGGCAATGAGAGGGGTAATATTTAGTTTTAAATGAGTTATGTCGCTGTAAGATATTTTATGGTACAATGCGGAGCTACTCTACGAGAATTTTGGACTTTTGTGACCCACGTCTCACAAGAGAAGGAAGAGATTTTTAAAGTTGTTAAAAAGTTCGGTTTCTAGCGATAGAGACAAAGGACAACGAAGGCCTTCGCCCAGCCTTGTGCCCTGGGTGAAGGTATGAGTAATGAAAGGTGGGCCCTAGCCAGATTAGGGTTTCATAAATTGATATCCCCTTTGTATAGAGTTTGAGTCCCTCTTTTATAGGACATTGTTTGCTAGAGCTTCTCTTTACATTTCCTACCCCTTATCGGCTATAGTACATTCCTAGAATATTCCTATGCTAATACAAGCCCCCTGATATAGTTTGGACATCTTCCTCTACCGTCTTTGCCTGTTGGGGCATCGTCGACGACCCTTAAAGCATCTAGGTCCCTAGTTGGGTTTCGGTGATTAATAACGACACAAGATTATTGTGACTAATGTGTGTTTTGTAGAGGCATCTAAGTTATGTCATGGTAATGGCGATTGTTTGGGCAATTATGGTTTTCATGCCCCTATCGATGGAAATCGTTTTAGTTTTCAAAAGATGAACAACAAGGTTAAGAACGAACTAGTTCTAAGTGTCGATTGGCGTTAGAGAGACATTTAGAGTAGTTTAGTACTTTTTTTTCTTTTGCCATACTATTAAGGGGGGTATGAACTAGTAGATTGACATATGTGAGTCTAATATGTTATGTGTGGCGCACACTTGTCAAACTTAGTACTAGGTAGCTCAGGGACAACCCAAAGATCGATTGGAGTAAACTTCGTTCACAAAGTGTCGAGATTCGGAAGTGAATGGAGTGCTTCCACAATGACCGGACATTGGTCCTTGTAGGACCGGACGCATCAGGTCTGTTGTAGGCACGTGCTGCAGAGATAGGAGGACGACCGGACGCTGGCGCAAGGCCGATACCGGACGCGTAGGTTCCGGTATCTATAGCTGATGGCGTAGCAAAGCTCACGACGGACCGGATGCTGCTTCAGAAAGAGACCGGACTCGCGGTTGACTGCGTCCGGTCATGTATAGAAAGGGTCCTAAGAGCAATTTTGTGACCTGACGTGTCACATGGGGGCCGATCGGACTCTAGCTAAGTCCGGTCATTCCAACGGCTCTCTGACAGTTTGAAGCCATGTTAAACTGACCGGACGCGTCTGGTTACCCTGACAAGCATGTCCGGTCAGCTCGCAGAGTGACTGATTTGTCTCAAACGGCTAGTAGAGTTGGTGGGGGTATTTAAACTTCTCCAACTCATCCAACTCAACGTCTTGCCTATTTGTTCAACTAAGAAACACCTTTAGAGTGCAATGGAGAGCAAGAGCCTAGTGGGGTGATTGAGATTTGAGAATCCAAGATTAAGGACATCATTAGTGCATAGGGAGTAGCAAGTGTGCATCGACATTTCTTATTAGGCTTGTCTTGGTCAAGTGAGAGTTTGTGCTTATTATTCTTAGTGATCGCCATCACCTAGATGGCTCGATGGTGATTGGAAGCTTGGTGATCATCCGACGGAGCTTGTGGATGACCCAAGTCATGGTGTGAATGGTTGTGGGCGATTCACCGTGATGGAGTGTCGAAGAATCAGCCCATAGAGAGCACTTGATCCTTACGCGGATCAAGGGGGAGCTACACCCTTGCGCGGGTGCTCCAACGAGGACTAGTGGGGAGTGGCGACTCTCCGATACCTCGGAAAACATCGCCGCATTCCTCTTCTTCTCTTTACTTTGAGCATTTATATTTGAGTAATTCAACTCATGTCTATACATTCTTAGAATTATCATGCTAGAGTAGGATTGGAACCTAGAGTGCAAAACTTTTATGTGATAGAATAATATAAACACTTCTAGGCACAAAGGGATGATATGGGCTAAGTATAGGACTTAATTATTGCAAGAAATTTAGAATTAGCCCAATTCACCCCCTCTCTTAGGTAACTTGATCCTTTCAATTGGTATCAGAGCTTCGTGCTCTTTAAATTAGGCTTAACCGCCTAGAGCAAGATGCCCCCAGGGGATGAACCTCCTCCCGTCTTTGAGGGAGATGATTTTCCTTATTGGAAAATTCGTATGGAGGCGTACCTGGAGGCTTTAGATGTTGGAGTTCTTAGAGCCGCCTCGCGAGGCTTCCCAAAATCTAAGGATCCCGTCAACCTTTAAGGTGATGAGGTTCGCTATGAGAAGTGGAATACAAAGGCTAGAAACACCCTTTTTAGAGGTCTTTGCAAGCATGTCTTTAACCGTGTGCGGAACCACAAAGACGCCCATTCACTATGGTCGGATATTTGTGCGCTCCATGAGGAAACCAAGAGTGAGCGTGAGGAACGCTATCACCTTATGATGAAGAAGCTTAATTCATTTGAAATGCTTTCTAGTAAAAGTGCTAATGAAATATATTCACGCTTGAATGTTTTTGTAGAGGAGGTCAATGGGCTTGGACTCACTCAAATGCAACCATCCAA